GGGGGTCGCGCCGTCGCGTCGGGTCCCTCCTCTCTGCCCTCCGCCCCCCTATCCGAGCGCCCGCTGCGGGTGCCCCGCAGGACCCGGCGCCGCCTCCCGCGCCCTCCTGGCCCCTCCAGCTTGGCTCCACCGCAGGGACGCGCGCGCCAGCCCCGCAGACCTCTAGCGACCCCGTCGTCGCGCCCCTGGCCTCCCTCCTCGAACCCCGGCCTCGTCCTGCCTCCAGGGCTTCGCATGCGGGGTCCCCTCTCGCACCCCAGCCTCCCGCACACAGGGTCTCTGCCGGGCAGCGCCGGGCCCGCACCTCTGCGCGGGCCCAGAGGCCCCGATGCGGGCAGGTGCAGGGCCAGGTGCAGGTGCACGGCCAGGTGCCGGGCCAGGTGCGGCCCCTGCGGACCGGGGACCTCACAGTGTAGAAAATCAGTGAGCTAAACACAGCTTGAGTGTGATGACAATTGGGTTTGCAAACCACATCCCCGGGCTGGGGCTGCTGAGGGGCTTCTTTCCCACGCTCCACCCGCAGCGGGGTTTTCATCAGTTTTGTGCATTTTTTCAGAAACTCTCTTCCCTTGGCGCGGGGTTGCTTTTTGAAAGAGTTTCTAATTTTCAGCAAGGTGTTCCTTGCTGCCCTGTGGTGTTTAAAGCGCCGGCGATGTGAGACTATCCGGAGGCCCTTGGTTGGGGGACTGGCTCTCAAGGACGTCAGACCCAGGTGGCCAGGGGCACCCAGGCGTCGCCCGCACGCTGAGCCTCTGCCGGCGTGGCTGTGTTGGGAGGCTGTGTGACTCCTCCTTGCCTCGGGTTTTCCGACTTCTCTGTAATGACCTTGCTTGGCTATGGCCTGGCTGGGGCGGAGCTGGGGGCAGGAGGCAGACAATACAACAGAAAAGGAAGCCAGCATTTTCCTCCTATTAATAAAGGCTCCCATCCTCCGAGGGGATCTGGCCCTGTCCAGATGTTGGGGGTTGGTGCAGTTGGCATCCAGCTAATGGAGCCCCACCCCCACCCCACCCCTGCCACCAGTGGTAGTTGGTAGGTGGACAGGAAGCTGGGCCTGGTCCTTGGGGGACCTAATGAGGGTGGACCGGCTGTGGCAGTGGGGACTTTCCCTAGGTCACTTTGTGAGTTGGTGGGAAGGCAGGCAACATCCACCCAAAGCCTTTTGATTCGTGGCAGTGTTGGGAATGCTGTTTCAATTCCCACAGCCAAGTGCCACAGGTGGGGGGGCTTAGAAAGCACAACACATGAGGGTGCTCATGGTTCCAGAGGCTAGGATAGAAATCGAGGTGTCAGCAGAGCTGGGCTCCCTCCAGAGGCTCCAAGGGAGGTCTTCCTGCCTCTTCTAGCTGCTAGGGCTCCAGGCGCTCCTGGGTGTGTGGCCGCGTCACACCGGTCATGGCCTTTGTCTGCACGTGGCCTCTGTCTCTCCCTGTGTCTCCTTATGAGGACACTCCAGTCACTGCATTACACACTCTCATGGCCTCGTCTTAGCTTAATGACATCTGCAAAGACCCTATTTCCAAGTGCTGAGTGCATAGGGTTGGACCTATCTCTTGGGCGCTGCCATTCGGCACAGTGAGGTAGTAAGATGGCCTGGCCTGTGGGCCACACAGCAGAGAGCAAGGTAAAGGGGCAGCTATTCCTGGACTGGCCTCTGGGGCCAGATCCCTGTTCTACCCAACTCTAGTTAGGTGGCCCTGGCCAAGAGCCTGTGCCTCTGTTTCCCCATCTGTAAATCAGGGGCACTTGTGGACCTGCTTAGTAGGGCTGGAGAGAGAGTTGGAACAATACTGGGCCAGTGGTCAGCCTGATGCAGGTAGTCTGCTGTTGACTTCCCCACCGTGTGGACAGTACAAACCTGAGGTCAAGGTGTCACGGGGCTGTGCTCCCTACAAAGGCTCCAGGGGAGGGTCCTGCCTGCCTCTTCCAGCTTCTGGGGCTCCAGGCCTCCCAAAGCTGTGGCCACACCCCTCCAGTCTCTGCCTCTGTTGCCACATGGCCTCTGTGTATGTGTAGGGGGGTCTTCTTATGAGGACACCAGTCACATTGGATTTAGGGCCACCCTACTCCAGTGTGACCTCATCTTAATCTAAACACAGCTGCAAAGGCCCTGTTTCCAAATAAGGTCACATTGTGAAGTTCAGGTGGGGGACACTGTTGTACCCAGCACAAGGCTGTCCTGGAATATCTGGGGAAGTGGCTGCTGCAGGTGGGTCTCCCTCCAGGTTCTAGCGGGGCCCCTGCTCCCTGCATCCTTGGGTTTCCTGAGCCTCCCCTCTGTGGTAGAGCCCAGGGGCTGAGGCTTGACCCAGCACTGAGGGGAGCCTCCCACCGCCCCCCTCCCACTCAGTGACCACCTCTCGCTCCCCCAGGCCCTGGTGACGTTCCCAGCAGCAGTTCCACTGGATGCCCGGGGATGCTCCCAGCACCTGGGGCCTTGTGTCTGAAAGCGCCACCCTACCCTGGACCACAGGCTTTGGGAATCTGATGAGAAGCTTCCCAAGAGCCCCTAGCAACCAAGGTGGTCTCCATTCCACACAGACACTGGGACAGCAGGAGCAGACTCCTGTCTCCACCCTCAAGACACTTGCATTCTGAACAGCTTCCTCATGTCTGTCCGGGGCGTTTCACAAACACCCAGCTCTGCTGAGGCTGGGGCCTTGTCTTGCTCGGTGTCTCCCAGGTGCTCCATGGATGCAGTCCTTTCTGATGATGCCCCAACGGCAGGAGCACCAGCAGGCGGACCTCCGCTGGTCAGGGCTCCTTCCTAGCCAAGAGTCCTCGCTCTTCACGAGCTAAGGCCCCCTCGTGCCTGTGGTTTGAGGTCAGTCAGTCCCCCTGCCTGGCGGTCCTAGGGTGCCCTGCCACCCCCATTCTCCACGCTGTCCACCAGCATGCTGGCCAGCTCTGACCATGCTGCTCTGCAGCTCAGCATCCTTACTGGCCACCATTGAACTCAGAGTGGGGCAGGTGGGGCAGGCGGGGCAGGACCAGTTTGCTGAAAAGTCCTCAGATGATGCAGCCAAGGCTGAGAAGGGCAGGATCAGAACCCAGAAGGTAGGTGCCCAAGGCCCCTGGCCACCGTGTGTGTTTTGTCTCCCCAGCGTCCTGACCGCCTCTGCCGGGCTCTGAGCTCCTGCACACCTGTCACAGCCCCTCTGCGTGTGTCCTCCAGCTACCAGGAGCTCAGCAAATTCCCCTCCAGAGGCTGCCTGCCCTGGGCTACTGCTCCTTGGCCAGACTCATCCTCAGGTGCTCTCCCTAGACTGAGCTCAGAAGGACGGATGGCCTGTCCTCCCCACCACAGGAGCTGTGCCTCACTCACCTCAGCGTCGCTGAATAATGACGCCATCTGGGCCCAGTAGTGTCCAGGGTGGACATCACCGTCCCACCCACAGAGGAGGAAATGGAAACACAGGATGCGGGACTCCCCAACCCCACAGCTTAGAAACAGCCAGACCCCCAACCAGCCTGGCCCTGGAGGGTTGCTGCTGGCAGGAGAGGGAGCACCCCAACGCCGCTCCACAGGGTGGTGGCACCCAGACTGCGATGCACTAGCACAGGGGGCAGGTGCGGACACGCGGGATGGGAGCAGGCAGACCTGTGGCGAGCTGGCGTCAGGACACACCACAGTGCGTTCCGTTGCAGAGATGCACAGCGCAGAGTGGACCCGCAAATCTCACCCCTCGGAAGGAGTCCAGAGACGTCCCCTAACTGCGACAGGCTCTCTGAGTCAGCTTTGCAGAGACACCGTCTACTAGTGATTTCCTGCATGACTTGATTTTTAAATAATGAATCTGTGACATTTTCATAATGGAAACACAGATTTCACTTTGGGGAGAGGCAGGGAGACAAATCTGGCTCGTATCTGGAAAGGGGCTTCCCGCACCGGAACACTCCCCACAGGTGGGTCGGAATCACCCAGGTGAAGAAACCCACCCATCCCGTTCCGGAGGGCCCGCCTGTGGGCCAACCCCGCCCAACCCGTGGGACCAGGCCCACGCTGCTGCTGCTCCTTTTAAACCCTCACCTGAGGATATTTTTTCCATTGCTTTTCGGAGAGAGTGGGGGGGAGACATCGACTGGTTGCCTCCCGCACGTGCCCCGAACAGGGCCGGGGATCGAGCTTGCAACTGAGGTACGTGCCCTTGGACAGAATCGAACCCGGGACCCTTCAGTCTGTGGGCCGACTCTCTAACCACTGAGCCAGTCCAGCCTGGGCAGGACCATCTTCTGTGACGCCTGAGTGAGACCTGGATGCTTTCCCACCCTGACCGCCCCGCACGGCGACTTCGTCTGTCCCATGGAGCCGACCGCAGCCAGGCTTTGCAGGTGTGCAGCGGGCACAGCTTGGCCGGCACCCTCCTCAGTTGAGGCGGGTCAAGCCCTTTAGACTAAAGTTCAAGTGCTGATCCTCAGCCCTAGGGAGCACAGATGCTCGGCAGGGGGGTGGCGCCCAGTGACGCAGGGCTGCCCTGCTGCGTGGAGACTTACCCCCCAGACCCGGCCACGCTGCGTGAAGAACGTGCTGGGCATGGGACAGGGTCCGCCGCTGAGCCAGCCACCAGTGGCGGCCGAGGCTGAGGCAGGGCAGCTGCGGGAGGCCCTAGCGCTCGCTCATCAGAACTGGAGCCACCTGAGCAGCCTCTGTGGGGCCTCCATGGGGCAGTGGATTGAGCCTGGCTTTTTCCTGTGCAAAGCCCCCCAATGCTCCCACACACCAGGGATCAGCTGAGAGCAATCTGCACGGGGAAACTCCTCACTGGCTGGGGCATCTCAGCTGACCGGGCGCCTGCGGGGTGACCCCCTGAGCAAGCAGACGGGGCCCAGCGCTGAGCATGTGACCCAGGCAGAGAGGGCAGCGGCCTGGCAGTGGGGAAGACTTTATTACTGGCGTCTCGGGTCCAGTGAAGGACAGTGACGGCATGCCCGGGACAGAATTCAGGGCCGAGGGCCCCAGTAAACAGAGCAGAGCACAGGCACTGTCCCCATCGGCGCCGATCAAGCGAAGCCGATGGCTCAGCTCGCAGATGGCTCAGGCTGAGCACAGTCCCCGTGGTCACTGGAGGCTCCCATTCTGCACCATCTGCAGATACTCCGTGTACAGCTTCTCCTGAGCCTCAAAGAGCTTCCGCAGCTTCTTGGCTTGGCCCTTGCTCAGCTCCTTGCCTTCTGTGTCGTGCGTGGGCAGGCCCTGGAATGGTGAGGGCAGAGGTCACTGAGGGGCACAGAGGTGGCTGAGGAGCACCAGCCCACCAAGCCCTGGCTCACCAGGCTCAGCTCCTGACTGGCGCATTCGCCTGCCTGGGCGCCTACTGAATGCAACACACTGGGCCCCGGGCACGGACTCGCCTGCCTGTCCCAGCTGCTGTGATGTGGCCGGGCTGGGGCACCCTCCTGCCTGGGCTGAGGGGCAGTGCTCCCAGCAGCTAGGATATGACCGGCTCAGGGGTTGGCAGCAAGTACACACCAGGACCAGTGAACAGGGGCAGGGGTCTCGAGATAAAGCAGATGGCCATAATGAGGAGCCCCTAGGCGGTGGACATATCTGGCCAGCTTGGGAGGGACGGACCCTGCAAACTCACAGGTCATCATGCTCAGGTCAGCCCTGGGCACCTCGGCCACAGGCACCAGACCTAAACCAGGCACCAGAGGACCCTGCCTCCCTTCCAGCTGCACCCCAAACAGAAAATCTGCTCCCCAAGGTGACAGCTCCCATCATCCAATCGGATGACACAGCTCTGAACACAAAACAAAAACAATTCTTACGCTTTCATCGAACCGGGAGTATTTGTCACTTTCTGACAAGAACATCTCGCTGGGCGGGATCTTCATCTTGGCCAGCTTGGCAGCCTGGAACACAGACACATGGTCACTGAGGCCACGGAGGCCATGCGCCCGCTCCCGGGACCGCGCCCGCTCCCAGCCCAGCCCCTGGTTCAGAAGCTGCAGGCAGAGGGGCAAGGGGAAGTGCGGGGACACTGCGCAGGGAAGCCCGGGCTCCCTGTGGGAACAGCGGGGCGCTGCAATGGTACGGAGTCCACAGCATGGCACAGGGCCGCTCCCTCACCCAGGGCAGAGGGCAGAGTGGAAGCCCCCCAAGCGCGCGGGCATCACCTCCTGCTCCTGCCTCCTCCTGGCCGCCTCCTCTTTCTTCTTTCTCTTCTCCTCCTCAACCTGGGGACAGTGCACAGCCCATGACCAGGTCTGCCCCAGGCCCCCCTCTGGGTGCCGGTGGCGGGCCAGGGAAGGGGGGGAGGGGGAGCCTTGGGCCTGGGTGTGGGGCCAGCTGGGTGCTGGGCACGGGAGGCCCGTGGTGCCGGGGGAGCTTCGTCTGCATCCTTGAGTGATCCTCCGGTGAAGGGACCCGCAGCAGGGGCGGGAAGGAGAGGCAGGTCTGGGAGCTGCAGTCCTGCTCCCGCTTGGACACCTTGGCTGTCAGGTGCTTCTCGGCCAAGCGGAGCTCTCGGGGAGGTGGCAGGGCACAGGCGTGTGGGCCCAGGGACAGTCATAGGAGAGCGGATGAGAGCAGGGACTGGTGCCCTGCTGCCTGGACGAGGTGGGTGTGTGGGGAGTGCAGGGGACTGGGGACGGCATGGAGCGCGGGGGGACAGCAGGGACACGGCTGCCCAGGGCTCTGCTCTCCTTTCGCAGAAGGGGAGCGTGTATCTGCTGGGGGCCATTCGGGGCGGGGTGCTGTCTATGGGGGTGTCATGATGAGTGGCCTGGAGACACGAGGGCCTGTGCCCACCCAGGACCCCACCTCCCGCAGCTGGCAGGCTGGTGGGGAGGGTCCCCTTGCTCTGACAGCTGCTGGAAGGCGGGCGCGGCTGCCACTGAGGTACTGGGCCGCCCCCTCCAAGGTGTGACCGAGGTGTGACCAAGCATGTCAGCCCCAGTGAGTCCACATGACTCGCTTTCCCTTCAAGTCTGGGCGTTGTTTTTTTAAAAAGAGGTGATTCATGAGAAGATAAGTGTTTTTTTGTTACCAAATTGCCAACTGCCAGTTACCTACCTCATTACTTTTTCCTTCTGATGTTTATAAACCCTGAGGTTTTAATAAAAGTATAAAACCAACGGACCGAAGGTGAAGGAGGCGGACGGACTCACCCTTTTCTTTCCCTCCCTCTCTCTCAGTAGGGTTTCTCTGTCCACCAGCTTCACCACAGTGGGCAGTCCTGAAAAGCAAAGGGTCCATGGGGATGCTGAGGCCTGGCGTCCATCTGTCCCGCCTCCCCGCCATGCCACAGCCGCCCACCCGGCTCAGCACACCCTCCGCCCCACTGCACCCGAGGGTCCCCCGGAGAAAAGCAAGGTGGGGCCCCTTCCTCACTGCTTGGGACAGAAAACCCAGAGTCACAAAATCACACCTCATCTGAACCTTTAAACCCTAGCAACTGTCTTTGCCAAGTCGAGCGGCCAGCTGTAAACCCTGCTGACAGTCGGGTGGCACAGACTGTCCCGAGTGACAGCTTGTAAGGAAAGGTGGCCATAGGCCACCTGGCCACAGAAGTGGACACCACAGCACCTCTCTAAACAACCCCCACCCAGCACCCACCCTCCCAGCCCCTTGACTGTCAGGGTGGAAGCCGCCTGGAACAAGCCCCAGCAGCAGCCGAGCAGCACCCACCTTCATGGTCTTCGAGCCGCACCCCCAGCTCGGGCAGGACGTCGTCCCGCAGGGCGTCACTGAGCTGCAGGACCTCGGGGACTGGGGGCAAAGACAGTGACTCGGACCGTGCGGGACTCCCAGGGTGGGGGCCTCCCCAAGCCTCCAGAGGACACTGCACTGCTGGACCCCGGAGGAGCCCCAGCCTCACCCTTCTTCTTGCGGGCAATCTTCCGCACTCCCTCCCTGAACTCCGACAGCGCCTGCAGGTACGGCATGACTGTGCCCTCGAGCTGCCGAAAGAAGGGTTTGGTTCCTGAGGGGACCCCGCCTCGCGTTCATTACCCCCGAGTCCGGCACTCACTCTGCACGGCTAGGCCGCCCAGACCTCCGGATGCCAGCGCAGGCCCGTGGGCCGGACAGAGCCTGGACGCTTCCAACCCGCCTGGCGGGAGGAGCCCACAGGCCGGCTCAGGTGAGGGGCAGGTGTGAAAACACTGCCTCCCGGCTCCCACTCGCCTTCCCGGGAGGAGCCACTGCTCACAGGCCGACACCCTGCCTCCTGGCGGGGCCTTATCCACACGGGCCAGCTCCTCCGAGCCGCCTGGTAAGACAACTATGTCCTCGACCCGCCTGCCATCCACGCGCACGCTCACCCTGTACCACAAGCCAGTGCCAGAAACGAGACGGCACAGAACACAAGCCCCGCTGGGGAAGCCCCGCTGGGGGCGGCTCCGGACGGGACAGGTGACGGCTTTCGAAAATGTTTTTGAGAAACACACCCACTGTATTTCTCCGTTGGCCTTTAAGCAAGGTCTCTCCCGCCTCCTAAGTTGTTCGGCAGCTCCACCACCAAAATAACAATAAATACATACAAAAGCTGGTGAGGCTGACAGGCCTTCAGTACGACCCACACCTCGCTGGGCCCAATCGTTTATCTGGGCTGAGGGGACGTGACCCTGCGCGGGAGGAGATGGCCTCCCAGGGTCTCAGGTCTTTCTCTGCACCCACACAGGGACATGTGGGTGGGGGAGACCCTGGTGCAGGGAGGGACAGGGCTTTCGTGGCTGCCGGACTCGGTTGCAGCCCAGCTGACCACACCGGACACTGTGGACCGCTCGGTGCTGAGCTGGTTCAAGACTCGGGAGCGGCCTCCCTGGCTCCTGAAACAGGCCGAGTGTAGAAGTGAACCATGACCTTCAAACGGCATGGACCGCGCAGCGCCCCTGGGCCCAGCAGGCTCCCCTAGCACACTTCCCGTGGCCCCTGGAGGTCCTGGGGACCTGCGTCCACAGCCGCTGAAGGCCCCACACCACCAGGGCGTTGAACGTGAAAAGCAGTTATTGTAAAGTTCAAAGGTAGGTTGTCTTTAACCTAGGAGGTTTTTGTAAAAGAAAATAAAAATCTAGAATCACTTGCCCAAGAGCACAAAGCAGCCGTGTGGCTTTTCTAAGAACACCAAAGGCTCCCACACGGCAACGTCCAGAAAAGAGCACAGCAGCCGGGGCTGAGGCTGACGGGAGCCGAGCAATGTGGGCGTGGAGTCCGGCCCGACTCTAACCACCACAGTGGCTCCCTCCCTGGAAGCGGCTTCTTGGGGGACGTCTGCGATCCCCACCTGTGGGCTCCCCGCCTCTCGCGATGCATTCACGCGTTTTATTTAAGCAGCAGTTGCTATCTTTAGAATTGACACACGCTCCCTGACCACACAAGGACAGAGCGTTCCTGGCGGGCGGGGGAGGGGGCTCGCCTGGGACGGGCCTGGATGTGTGTTTGCCGCGTGACGGCTGTCCCGCAGCGGGAACCATGTCTGCTCTGGTGAGCTCTCCGTGAGCACGGGCCCTCAGACAGACGGCTCACGTGGCACCGGAGTGTCTGAACGCAGGCCCACACGTGCCAGGTGAGCGAGAGAATCCACGCTGCCATGTGGCTGCGACCTAAGCAAGGCTGGGGACCGTCCCCTCTCGCCTGGTCTCTGGGGATCACGCTCGGACAGAGAGCACAGCGGCACAGGTCCTCCCGCCTGGCGGTCAGCGAGGAAGGCAAGCTGCTCTGGCCCCACCGACCTTCCGCATGGGAGGGGCACCGACTGCGCTCAGGTCTCCTCTCTGGGTGGAGATGTGACCTGAGGCTCAGTCTGGAAGGTCCAGTGCAGGCAGGACCAAACGCGGTCTCCAAATGCCCAAAGGTTTGGCCCAGCAGGGGGACAAGGAAAGAGGAGGGGCCCCTGGCTGTGGGCACCGCTCCCCAGGGGACAGCTGCCCGAGGGCAGCCCAGCGGGGAGACTGGGCCCGGGGGGCTGCACTCACATTTAGGCTGCTTCCAGGTCCTCCAACAGGGAAGCCCAGGGAGCTCTCCTCCTCTATGGCCCCGAAGATCTAGGAAGAGAAACAGCAGGTGGGAGGAAGGGGCCCTGAGGCGACAGGACGCTCGCCGGCCGGTCTGGGAAACGCGCTGCCGCCCGGGGCGGCAGGTGACATGCAGTCCCGCCTGCGGCAGACCCCAGGCCTCGCGGCGGGCGTGCGGGACTACACGGGCGGGCTCTGGGGGACACTGAGGCACGCGGTGCGACCGCTCCGGGCAGCACGGCTGCAGGCGCTCGATGCCCACCCGGGGCCGGGCCGCGGCTCACCTTCAGCATGTGGGTGAGGTACAGGGCGATGCCCTCCAGCAGGGCCCTGCGGGGCCGCCTCCGCGCGGCCTTCTGGGCGGCCATGTACAGGTTGCACTGGCTGACCAGGGCCCGCATCTCCTCCAGGGCGGCGCGCGTGTCCACGCTGTCGCAGAGGGCTTCGTGCACCGCGGCCTTCCTGCTGTAGAAGCTGAGCGGGGGCAGGAGGAACGGCGTCAGCCCCCAACGGCCACGGCGCTCCGGCCGGTCGCCGGCCGGCTGCGCAGGTCCCGGGCACACCGGGGACCCGGGAGAAGGGGCCGCGCCTCACCTCTCATTTAGCTCTGCTTCCGCCTCCTCCCATTTTTCAAACTGGCCGGTGATGTCCACAGGGGCGCGAAGGACGTCTTTCACGTTTAAGAAAAACTCCTAAAGTTAGGGGACTCCGTTCAGCGGCACCCGGACAACCTTCCCACCTGAGCCTGGCCGACGGGGAGCCGCTGTGCTGGCTGACGCGCTCACTGGGCGCAGCGGGAGCCACAGCACGGACACCCGCCGCCCGGAGGCGCAGCATGGACACCGGCCGCCCAGGGGAAGGACAGCAGGGACACCCGCCGCCCGGAGGCGCAGCAGGGACACCCGCCGCCCGGAGGCGCAGCACGGACACCCGCCGCCCGGAGGCGCAGCAGGGACACCCGCCGCCCGGAGGCGCAGCACGGACACCGGCCGCCCAGGGGAAGGACAGCATGGACACCCGCCGCCCAGAGGCACAGCACGGACACCGGCCGCCCGGAGGCGCAGCACGGACACCGGCGCACGGGGGAAGGACAGGGGTGCCCGCAGCCCTGTCGCCCTCGCGGGGCTCAGAGGCACTGCTCACGGTCAGTGGCCAGTGGCCAGCGGGCTCTGCCCCTTGCCCGCCCTCGCCCACCGCTCTGGGCAGACTCACGTTCAGGAACCTCTCGTACTGCAGGGCGCACTCCATGGTGTTGCCCGAGTAGTCCAGGGTGTCCCTCCAGGCGTGCAAGAGGAAGGCCAGGCGCAGCTGCCGGGCTGGGGGCGGCGGGGGGCGTCCTT